AATGCTGTACACTTGAAAGTTATATATATAATGTTATAAACAAATGTTATCTTGACAACAACAACAAAAACTAAACTAAATTTAAATTAAATGTATATTCAACCTGTGCTAGGCATTGCAGAAGGTATAAAAATCCCATGCTTCTTGGTAGGGCCAAATGCCATGGGGATGGAGTAACTCACCAGTAAACCCAAGCCCTCAAATGCCAGCACCCTGCACTCACCTTGAGGGCATGCATAGGAGATGCTGTGGGTGAGGAAGAAAAACAAGCCACACTGATTGATTTTTGTAAGGCAGCGGTGGCTTCACAAGTGACTGGGAGCCTGGACAATGTGCTTTGAGAGATGTGCCTCTGGGAGTTCCCATGCTTCAGCAGGGTGAGGCCACTTTCCTTAGTGGTGAGTGTCTAAACCCTGTTCTCCCGGAAGTGAAGGGAATGGGTGACTCAGTAGATTAAACATTTTTGCCTTCTGGAGTGTTTTGCAAACACATGCATATCCTGGGTTTGGTTCCAGACCACCACAATAAAGAGATTATCATAAGAGAGCAAGTCATATCTTTTTGCTGGTGGAAGATCTTGCATTTAATTTGTAAAAATGCAAAGTCTGTAAAGCAATAAAGCAAAGCACAATAAAATGTGGTATACCTGTACAATACAGTGGTCCTAAGGAAGTATCAACACGGCAAGATTGTCAGTTTGAGCCACTGGGAATCTCTTTGACTAGCCCTCTGGGGCACCCTGGGAAAATGAAGGTGCCCTGCAGGCAGCTCCGCAGGTGCCTTCATAGATGACGGTGAATGAGACCCACGGGATCTTTCTCCCCTCATACATCACCATCCTTAAATGGAATCTCACAGAGTTTCTGCCTATTTAAAAGGTTGTTTTTAAAAATTCAACTGTTTGTCTTCTTTTTTTAAAATTTTTTTAATTTATTAAATTATTATCTGTGTACATATTTTAACATTGCCCCCCCCCCACACATCAACTGTTTATCTTCAAATAACAAAGTAGATTTTACTAAGAATAGTCAGAAAACCCTCTATTGCATAAATCACGGCCTTGGGGAATCTCTACCGATCTACTCCCTTTCAGATGTGGGGGACGAACAAACTTTCTCTACCCACAACGTTCTTCTGGCTGGTCTAAGCAAATAAACACGAGACAGATTAGCAAGAGAAAATAATCATATTCAACACATGTATATGTATAAGAGCCCTTCATACGTGAGAGCATCAGAGACCCCAAAGGCAGGAGAAGTTCAGAGATCGAAAGGGGAATTGGGGTGTGTAAGACAGCCTGAGCTAGGGATGAGCTATGTACCTTGGGGGCTTCAAAGGGTCACTGCAAGACAATAAGAAGAGCAGTCCTTTGGTAAAAAGAAGTTTGTCTTGCCATATAGGTAGGTCAAAAGAAGTTATCTCTGATAATACTTACTAAGGGGAAGGCCCTTAATTCAAATTCTTCTAGGTAATTGGGGCGAGATGGAGAGACAGAAGTTTCCCTTGAGCCTGTGGCTGAATTTGCTTTTAGCTCAAAGTAATTGCATACTACAGAGGAACATCTTGGGGTGACTCATCTGGATCCCCAAACAGACAATCCATCATAGTCCCATTTTTCAAAAGAAGAAAAATAACATTTTCAAAGAGGTCAAGTGGTTTACTCTAGACTACAAAATTGATAAGCTCATTAGAGGAGGGATGGGTCCCAGCAATATCTAGGGTTTCACTCCAAAAACAGGTCCAAATGAAATAAGAGGTATTTGGAAAAATAAGTAATAACATGACAATTCATGTTTTAAATTTTTATTGATTTCAGAGAGGAAGGGAGGGAAGAGAGAGAGAGAAACATCAATGATGAGAATCATTGATTGGCTGCCTCCTGCACACCCCCTATTGGGGATCAAACCTGCAATCCAGGCATGTGCCCTGGCTGGAAGTCGAACTGTGACCTCCGGGTTCACAGGTCGATGCTCAACCACTGATTCACGCCAGCCGAGCTAACATGACAATGATTTGATGACCATCTGGACCAGGCGTCTTCAAACCACGGCCCGCGGGCCACATGCGGCCCGCAGAGGAGTCTGATCCGGCCCGCCAGGTTTTTTGGGCAGTGGGCGCAGCCGAGGTGTTACAGTAGGAATTAGTAGTTCCTATAGTCCGGCCCTCCAGCTCTCTGAGGGGCCGTGATCGGGCCCCCACTTTAAAAAGTTTGAGGACCCCTGGTCTGGACAATAGCAGTAGCCAGTCCACAAGGCAGATATGTGAGAGCCAATCTACTGACGGATGGACAGTACCATCAGGATGGATTGAGAAAATTTGCAACAAAATGCTCCCTAGGAGTGAGATATTTCATATGAATGCAATGCTGCCACATTGTAAAAGCACAATTGATTGAGAAAATTTCCTCTCAATCTTTTCAAGAAAGTTGACACAGAAGCAGGAGATAAGCAAAAGGAAAATGGAACTTAGTGGCATGTTTAGCAAACCCATCTTTAAGAGAAAAGACAAGAAACACACACACACACCAGGTAATCTGACTTCAGAAAGATTCACCAGTATGTACTGTAAGGATGTAATCTGTTGTAACACTGTTGTAACAGGAAGTGGTTGAAACAACTTACCAGAATATGTCTATACTAAAATTTCGGGAATAATTGACACTGTTCAAAGTGTTTACCTTTAGGTGGTAAGCATGGGGAGAGAAAAAGAATAGGAGGGAGGTGATTTTCACTTTTTAGTTGTATAATCCCTTCTGGATTGTTAGTTTTTTGTTGTTGTTTGTATGATTTTAATTTAAACTGACAATTACATATTAGTGTGATATATATGTATGTATTGTGATATATATGTATGTGATATATGTGTAATAATGGATATTACACATATATATGTGTAATATGTATTACACAGTATAGCAGCCATAGTCCAGATGTTCCCACTCTGTGTTCACAGTTGTTTCTTCTGTCAGGTTGCTTGTCAGATGGATGAATGAATGAACGAAGGAATAAATGAATGAATCAATGAATGAATGAATGACTTTACCACTGGGTTTGTATAACCAAAGGAGACTGGAAAAAAGACTAGAGTTAATGTAATAAGTGTAATTGTTTGGATAGACTATATTTGCCCAACTTAAATGAAGTTTTCCACTTTCAATTGAATGTTTATAGCCTTAGACATGTTTTTAGTCATTTAACATTTTTGACAAATAACTCTAATTCCTTTATAATCTACATAATGTGCCTCAAATAATGACATCACCCAGTTGAACCCAACATGTGTTTATATGTCTTTACATATCAATGGCAAATGACACAAACTTTTCATGTTATGTCTCTATTATGTAATAGCTTCAAGAGAAAAATTTTTAACTTAATACAAGTCAATAAACTCTGATATAACATGACTACATGATATTTACTAACCAGATTCTCAGGACACATTGTCCTCTAAGAATCCAACTTTTGTTCTCAAGTTCTTTTTTATTATTGATTTTAGAGAGAAAAGAGAAGAGAAGAGAAGAGAAGAGAAGAGAAGAGAAGAGAAGAGGAGAGGAGAGGAGAGGAGAGAAGAGAAGAGAAGAGAAGAGAAGAGAAGAGAGAGAGACATTGATTTGTTGTTCCACTTATTTATGCACTGATTGGTTGATTCTTGTACATGCTCTAACTGGGGATCAAACCCACAACTTTGGCATATCAGGATGATGCTCTAACCAACTGAGCTACCTGGCCAAGGCCCCCCCACACACACACGCACACACATTTCTTCAAACAAAACAAACATTTGGCAACTTTGAGTTTCATTTCTTTCATTTCTTGCTTATATTCACAGGAAAAAGTTTGAGAAGAGAAATAAGGAGATAAAATATACAAAGAGACAGGCATAGATTAACCGGAAACTGGAAGGGAGAAGTAGTCAGGTTCCTGAGAAAGAGGGAAAGGTGTGAAGGCCTGCAGGAAAGCTGGCCCGTCCAGGCTCTCTATGCCCTCCCCTCTCACATTCACCCGCCTGCCCTTACCAATGGTCATGGACAAACAGAAAATGATAAAGACTCATTTTAGACACATTTTTAGACACTCAGATTTAGACACATCAGTCCAGTCAAAACTGGAATCATTTTACAATGCCTGGGAGAGTGCCTACACATCAGCCACTCCTTCCCCTTCCACTGCAATGAGATTGCATAGAATAATAACCTTCTGGGATTACAGTGGGCCTTTTGAAGATGATCTGGTCTCAAATCTCCGTACCCATTTTGCAGAAAGAAAACTAACATCCAGATAAATTGGGTCACTTGCCCAAAGTCATTCAGCAAGACCAAACTACAAATAGATCCCCAAACTGCAAGCGTGCTGTGCACATGGCTCTTTCCCTGTGAGCAACCTAGGAGCTACAGAACATACAAAAACATCCCAACTTTGGAGACATGGACAATTACAAAGAGGCATGAAATAACGGGAAAACAAGGTAATCCAAATCACAGCTTTCCCCAACTCCTTGGCCAGTGACGAGCGGAGAGGGGCTGTCTTACAGAGTAATGGTACCTCGGACAATTAAATTGCACTTTTTCCTCCTTTACCCATTTCTCACTGGCACGGACTATAAAAAAAAGTGCATATTACTCTTTACTTTGGACCAACACAGACCTTTTTTGATACCTGAAATGTGGGGATTAACAAATACAGCTTTTCCTCTCCATGGGTTTACAGAAACCTAGGAGGTCAATCAATGAACCGCAAAGCCCTGGGGGAAATTAAATGCCTCCCACGAGAGAATCGGTCCCCTCCCCTGACCTGCACAGGTAAACCAACTCGAGGCAAAGCCAGAAATGTGGTCTTGTCGAGTCGCCTAAGCGCAGACTTTGAAAGAACTTGCCTTTCTTTCCAGGCTGAGACATGGGAAAGCCAGCTGGTTAACGCTGGGTCATCGGATTATAAAGCAGCCAGAGCACCAACATTCCGCAACAGGACTCGAGAAAAAGGAAGAAAAGTTTGTCTTACCCTTAAAGATAACAGAAACAATAGGGTCCGGCTTCCCAAATGTCGTTTTAGGGATGTTGAAGGCAGATTCCACAATCACACGAAGCATGGCTCTGGATGGGGTGAGAGCAGGTTTCCGAGGACAGAGTTGGGAGCCGCGGGCGCAGCGCTCCGGACTGCACCGCCCAGGAGAGGAGCCGGGGAGGACCCGGGAGAGGGGAGGGGGAGGCCGGGCGATGGGTGGGTCTCTGACGGCTATTGACTGAAGCCCGGGTGCAAACTGATCTCCAAGCTCCCGGGGCCTCCTCGGTGCCGCAGGCAACACTTAGGAATCGGGAAATGTGGAAGTGAAAAGGACCAACCCTCCTCTAAAAAATGGTTATGTGTGACAAATGAAACTGAAATGGGTTGGGAGCTCATGCATGTGGGCGCGTTAGGAGACCCCTAAGGAACAAACAGTTCGTGAAGCCACATCAGTTAGTTTTCTGCCACTGCTTTTATTCTTTTCTGAGCTTCATGAAGCTTTAAAACTTTAATCATTTTTAACTTTTTTTTCCTTTTTACTTTTGTTGCTTCTTCTCTCATACTGTTGAACACACGCGTTCAGCAACTACTTACAGGAAAAAATAAAGGTTTAAAATCCGTTCAAGGATGCCCCCTGCTGTATAGCAAGGGAATAACCGAGTTTAGTTCAAGCCAGCTCAATCTGGAGGCAGTAATAATGGGTTTACAAAATTGGCTGATCCTTTTCTTTCCAAAAGGACTCACTTTAGTATTTCTTTAAAAATCCTTAAGTGGCAAGAGCTGGGCACCTAAGTGTTCATGGTCCAGCAAATGCTGCTAACAGTCTCCAATAAAAACGAGAAAACTGCTCTAGACTCTCTCAGGATCTAACCCTGAGAAGTGTCTTTTCTTGATTAAAGAAAAATATATACGGTCAATGACACTTGTTAGAGCCTGGTAAGAAAGTCGTTATTCAAGGTCAGAGGGGCTACTGAAATAGGTGTAGGGACCACTATGCTGGAATTGTGCAGTGGAGGAGAGAGATTGGGTTCAACTCAGAGCAGAAGCAAGTGGGAATGTAGAGCCAAGGAGGAGGATGAGGGACAGTGGACGGGAGATTACTTTAAGGAAACACCAGGGAGAAGGGATTCTGGCTAAACTGACCTAACAGGCTTCTTGCTGAACACAGGTCAAGGTGACCGGAAATCCCCTTGGGGATGGCAGATGAGAAATCTTCAGGGAGCGAAGGTGTTCAGATGTGGAGTGTGTGTGTGTGGACCTGGGATGTTCTTGCTAAAACTAAATTTTACAAGAAAGTGCAAACTGGCCCAGGAGGAGGTTCAGGAGCTGGCTAAAGTTTGGTCAAGCAAAGAATCTTTGTCACCTGGAGAGCATGTTAGGCAGCTCGTGATTAAGGCCTGGGGCTGGTAGTCATCCAGATCTGAGTATGCGTCCTCTTACACCGTTTTTGAGATATGTGGATGTTCACATTTCTTTATTTTTTTTTAATTTATTTGTTTTTATTTCAGAAAGGAAGGGAGAAGGAGGAGGAAGAGAGAGATGGAAATATCATTGATGAGAGAGAATCATTGATCGGCTGCTTCCTGCACACCCCACCCTGGGGACTGGGCCTGCAACTCGGGCCTGTGCCTGACCAAGAATCGAACTGTGACCTCCTGGTTCATAGGTCAATGCTTAGCCACTGAGCCATGCTGGCCAGGCAGTGTTCACCTTTCTTAACCTCTCACTTCTGCAGTTATCTCATCGGTCCTCCTGCAGAAGCCTGGAAACCACATTCATTTACCAAGACAATCAGGATTACATGTAAGTCTATAAGATTCTAATAAACACTGTAAGAAAAACACTTAAGGGGGAAATATTTCCTTTTAGGAAAATCATGGAAGAGTAAGAGTTAGAGATAGGAATAAATTAACACAGTGATCAGCCATTTATTCATCGTAAATACGCTTTTGTTCAATTAACCCTTGAGAATCTGCTAGCACTATGTGTTGGGTGTTGGGGCTTCAGCAGAGAATAAGCCAAAGTTCTGACCTGCTAACGCCCGGCTGGTGGGGACCACATGCTAGGTCTCACGTCTACTAGGCACTGCTTTCAACAACTCCGGGAGCTAGAACTCCGGGCTTCGTCTTTCCAGCTGACAAAATTTAGACTCAAAAGAGTTCAAAACGTGAGGCAGGATTCAAACCCACTGTCTTCTGGGCCCTACTCCCTTTCCAGCTTCACTTCAGCCAAGATCTCATACTTTGCTGTTTCATGATTCCTCGCATTTTGTCAAGTAAATTCATGCAATAATGTAAGTGAGTGGCCTCTGGCCTGTCCTGGAACTTTGAGGCAAAGGGACAGAGGAAGAGAAATGTTTAGAGGAGAGTGTGGCAAAAAATCTGGACATGTGGACACAGGAATCCAGGTAGCAGAGAGGATTTAGCAGAAAAGAAATGAAGATAGATTCATAATATGGTATTCCAATTCCAATTTTACAGAATCTTAGCTATTATTTAACAGCAACATTCAAACTGGCATACACAGGGGGCCCATTGTTAAGATCTGTTTGCTGAAATACTGCTTTAAGAATTACTTTGGTTGATAACTAAAATGCTTTTGAGAACTAAAATACTAGTTTTAGTAGCTTAATTATAGGGTTTTGCATAAAGGTAGATGTTATTTTGAAATAACAATACATATTATATTTAAATTTCATCCCTTTAAAAAACTGTCTGATGGTAAGACTACATGGGAAGCAAGAAGGACTATAACAAATTATAACATTTGGCATCATCACACTGTCATTATTTGAAATAATTGAAAAAGCAATATAAGATAGGAATGAATCTGACCTTCTCCAAGTAAGTATTAACATATTTTCTAAAATACAACTAGAAAAAAAATAAAACAGGGAAAGTTAAAATCATTTTAAGCCTGTGCTTACTTTTAATTCCTCATGGAAATGTTTGATAGTTAGCCCTGACCTGTTTGGCTCAGTGGAGAGAGCGTCAGTCTGCAAACTGAAGGGTCCCAGGTTCGATTCCGGTCAAGGGCATGTGCCTTGGTTGCGGGCACATCCCCGGTGGGGAGTGTGCAGGAGGCAACTCATCGGTGTTTCTCTCCCATCGACGTTTCTGGCTCTCTATCCCACTCCGTTCCTCTCTGTAAAAATTCAATAAAATATATATATGTATTTAAAATGTTTAATAGGCAAATGTAAGGGTCTTCATTCATTCATGTACTAATGCACTTATTGAAAGATTAGTTGGTTCCAGTACCAATATTAACTGCCAAGGTTATTAAGATACATTTCCTCTCTACAAGAAGCTCACAGATAGTTACAGCATAATGAGTGAATATAATGATAGGAGACAAAGAAGACAGGGCAGGGTGGGCAGGCAGGGTAGGCTCTTGAAGGAGGTGACAGCCAGACTGAGTATTAATGGTTGGATTGATCTGTGCACGTGTGTGCACTTGTGTGCGTGCGTGCGTGCATGTGTGTGTGTGTGTGTGTGTGTGTGTGAGAGAGAGAGATCTGAGTACAGATCTTTTACTTCTTTAGTTAAGTTCATTCCTAGATATCTTCTTTTTTTTTTTTTTTTTTGGTGCAATGGTAAATGGGAATTTTTTTAAGTTTCTCTTTCTGTGAGTTCATTATTGGTGTATAAAAAAAGCCATAGATTTCTGGGTGTTAATTTTGTATGTATGTGTGATCTGAGATAAAGTCAAACAAACACACATGGTGATCGTGGGGAACCTCAAGATATTTGATTTTGGTGAACTATCATGTGTGAGGTGAGACAGTCAATCAGTGACCTTAGGCAGGCAGCAGGCAGGCACCAGTCCAGAGAATCCGACAACTAGCATCCACTGAGTGCACACTGCATGCCAGATGCTATTCGTCTCACTTAATTCTCCTGCTGTCCTATGCTATGAAATAAGTACTATTTTTTTCATCCCCATATTACAGATGAAATAACTGAGGCATAGTTTGATCAAGCAGCTTGCCGATGTAATGGGAGCCAGGATCTGAGCATTAGCGGTCTAGAGTCCATGCTCTTCACCCCTGACACCATGCCCACTGGCAGTGGGGACTTAGTAAAAATGCACTTTTCAGCAGGGTAGCAGATTGACTGAATTGTATACAACAGTCTGAAAACAAAGAAAACATCTTGTGGATGAAAAGGACTCTCTAATCAGAAGTAATCTCATAAGGTGATCTGATCATAGATTCCTAACTGGACCAGCCATGGTGTGTAGTCATGCTTCAGGCCTATAACTTCTCAGGAAGGAGGTTATCTTTGCTTTAATGCAAGCACTCCATTATTTTGTTTCGTTTCCTTTCATTTTGCATCTAAGTTAAAGCACCTTTGAAAATTCCCCCTTTTATAAAAGACCCCTCAGAAGCTGAACCACTTTCAACGGAGCATATAATCTTAACTATCATATAGTCCAATCATAGAGATTTCCCCATCTTGCTTTCCAATCTTAATTCCCTACTTCATTCAAAATATATCAACGAAACTGCAAGCTCTCATTCTGGAAAACATTTTTCTCAGTCTGTTGAGATTCTGCTTTCTGGCATGCCCTCTGTTTGGCTCAAATAAATTCTTATAAAAAATGTCCTATGGGTTTGGATGTTCTGACAGTGACAATTTCAATAAACACACAGACTTAAAATTTAAATTTAAAAGGAGTTAAAACAGGCAGAGCAGTGAGTGTCCAGGGAGCCACCCTCTCCAAATAGAATGCACCCTGAATTGAGAACCAAGGCAGGGAGCATCACTGACTGGCTAGGTGAATAAGAATTCTCCCAAATGAGATTAGTCAGCCAGAGGCAATCTCTAGCCTGCTTGGCTGTCACATTTCTCTCTGTGAATGAATAAAGATAAATTGTGAATCCTTGATCTAGGATTCCTCTGAGTTAACTGTCAGCATCAAAGTACTATCAACTTGAGAGGTCTTGTGCAAACTACCACCTCCTCCCACTTTATGCCCCACAGCCCCTATCTTCGAAGCTAACATTGATTTTCAGGTCTAATGATGACAATAAACAAGCTTCAAGGCCAGTGAGTCTCTAGTACCAGCTCCTCTTCCTCAGGGGTCCCTAGTCACATGTGTTGACTTAAGAAACTTCCAAATCTGTAGAGAATTTTTATAAAAGTTTATTTGAGCAAACTGACCACATGATTGGGAAACAAGATCTCAAATGCTCTGGTGAAGGATAGTTTTGCAGTTTCATTTATACATTTAGAATTAAAGAAGAAACATAAGGAAGATTACATGAAGGTTGGAGAAAGCAAAGTGCAGGATAGTTAACAAGATTATTTGCTCTGGAGGGTGGTTATGACTTATGAATTGAATGACTTATGATTAACACCTGGACAGGGCTTGCTTAAGGCAAAAATAAACCTTTAATTAAAAATATGTCTACAGTGTGTCTATCCCACCATGTCCTGCTCAGTTAGGAATTTATGATCAGATCACCCTGTAAGGTTACTTACCAAATTTAAGTCTGGATTTATTTGATTTATTATAGAGTCCACTTTTTGCCAGAAAAGAGGGACCTGGGGAGCAGATGTGTAATTGGGGTACCTGGCCCAGCAGGCCCAGACACAAGGCCCTCAGATGCCAGAGTCACACCTCAGTACACAGATTCTCCCACTCACTCTCTTCTCTACTCATTTAGCTCAAAGCTGGGCAGGGTGATTTCTCTGTGTGCATGTCTTTCTAAAAATCTTTGTAAATTTTTATGGAAAGTAATTTTGCCCTTGTTCTCAACTCTGGTCAATGAGTAACATTCATACCCTCACTTACCTGTTGCTCCGACTTCCTCCCACTCCAATTCTATCTGACACTTGCAACCAACAGACATGAGACATCCTTCTCTTCACCTTTTCATCAGAAATGTGAACTCTTTGGGAGCAGGGACCAAACTTTATCTTCTTGCATTACATATAACAAAATTCTTACAAATTCTCTATATAGTTTCTCATCCATTCTATTTAGTAACGTAGGAGTTTGTTGCTTTTTGAGTAATAAGGGTTAACATCAATTGAGCATTTAAAAAATGCCAAGCACTTTACATAGATTTTCTCCTTCAGTGCTCATAACCACCCTGTGAGGTTGATATTATTTGCATCATTTTACAGATCAGAAAACTGAAGATCAGAGAGGTTAAATAACTTACTCGGGACTACTAGATAATTAGAGGCAGGAGCTAAACTCAGTCCTAATCTAGAATTTAACCAGTGTGCCTGATTGCTTTCCTCGGATGTTTTGCTACTGTAACCTTTTATCTATTGTTTTAAATCTCTGGTGTGTTTGGTCTTGAAAGGTAGGCCCTGCCAAGCACTTCCTGTGCCTGTCCATTTTAGCAATGAAGTTCTCAAAAACAGTTAACCACGACTCAGACTTGGCAACTGATGGATCTCAAGCCAGAGGGCAGCGATCTGTGACAAAGGTCTGATGGGTTCCTCCAGGCCTCAGAATCTCAGTTTTCAACCTGGGCGTGCCTGTCACCTCGCCCACCTCGTTCACTCCCCATTGCGCCAGCCCTGCCTCCTGAGAGGATAAAGGCTCAGCCCCAGGGAAGACTGGAAAGCTGCGCTCCTCTGCGGAATCCAAGGACACTCAATGTGTGAGTCCCTGCTCACAGTTCCTGGGTTTGTCTCACGGAGCAGAGGAATTTGCTTCATCCCCAAAGCGGATAAACACAAACCGGCTCCTTACAAAGAAACACCGAATCTGAGTTCCCAGCGCTCAGAAAAAACTTAGAGAAAGCCTTAGAACTAGGCGGCGGAGCCGGGAGGAGGCGTTCCCATCCTCCACCCCGCCCCGTAGCCCCGCCCACCTCCGCCCACCCTTTTCCGCATTCAGGCTCCAAGCCCCGCCCCCTGGTGAGCTGCAGCCAATCGGGGAGCCGCAACTCCACCGCCCCGCCTTCCTGCGGGCCGCGTCCCCGCCGGCAGTGACGTGCCCCGCCCCGCAGCCGCGGGATTCAAACTCCCGGAAGCGGCGTTGGCAGCGGAGGTGTGACCCGGCAAACGCGAGCTCGGCTTTTCGCCTCAGGAGCCGGCGGGCTGCTGGGAGGCGACCGCGGAGGTTAGCGAGGGGTGGCCAGGGCCCCCAGCCCCGGGGCAGGGCCGGACCGCGAGGGAGGCGGGGCCGGAGAGCGCTCACTTCCCCTCGGACCCAATCTCTGCCCGCCTGCTTGAAGCCCCCCTTTTCCGGGCGTCGACTTAGTGCCTGGCACCGGCCGGGCGCCTCTGGACCGTTGTGGTTTGGCTCCTTCCTTTCAGCTTCCCGGTGGGTATCATCATCCCCGTACAGACGGGCGCAGAGGCCAGGCGACTTGGCCGAGGTCTCTGCTTAGTTTAGCCTTTTGACGATTAATTATCATTTTGTCTATTCTACAAGCATCTTCATTGTAGAGAGAAAAAGTGCGCCTCCTTTTTGAAGTTTGCCCTTGCCTGTGTGTGCCTCCCCGTGTGGTATCTTAGGCTTTGTACGGTTTACCTCCACTTGCAGTTGACGTAGCCTGGAATCGAGGCCTAGTGCACTTGGCCTTGCTGAAAGGTTTCTCTTTGGTTTCCTGTCCATCTTATCCTAAATCGCTTCAGGCAATCCATACGTATTTTGTTAGCACCTGCTCTTGGGCAGGGTGGGTGACAAAAATAATTCAAGGTACAGTCCCTGGTGGTTTGGCCATGTCACTTCTTTCCAATAGAAAGATTTTTCTACTTAGCAAGTAGGTTATTAATACCTTTTCAAACCTGAGATTTGACGTTTAAAACTCAGACTTAATATAATTGTTCTTGTTTTTACAATTTCAGAGATGTCTTGTAGAAGTCCCAAAGATTTAATTAAAAGTAAATGGCGATCAAAGTCTAGTAACTCCAAATCAGAAACTGCATTAGAAAATTTTAGGGGGAAAACCGCACCCTTACAAACATCAGTGGATGAAATCACAAGCGGAAGAGCAAAGCTGACTGATCAAGAAAGACACAGACTTTTGGAGGTAAATGGCCTTAAAAACCCTTTCAATTGTAGTAAGCTTAATGGGAGGAAATGAGTAAGTATTTTCCCGATAATGATATATCCTAGCTTTTCTGTTAGTTTACTGAATGTAAGAAAACAAGTCTAACTTTGAAGTGTTAAATAGAGTTCAGATATTAATAGGAGTATTTGGAGACCTATTTTATTGTGTATATTGGCTGCTTTCCAAGTAATCTTTGTTTTCAGGTTCTTTTGAGATCGTATCATTACATACATTGGCATTTTGCATTCTTTTAAACTATATTTCAGGTTCCCTAATTTTCAGTTTGTTGTGGCATAGTCAGTAAAGCAGTTGGGAATTTATTAAAACTGCGAAGATTTAAAAACTTAATCACTCCTTTGATTTTAATTTCTTTTGTAATAGCACTTATATTGTTAAAGTTAGAGAATAACTGGTGGGATTTATTTAAGTTCTATTTTATAGGCACATCATAAAACCAAATGATTTATTATTTTTAACAATACATATTGAGGTAAATACTTATTCAAGCATTGAGAAATGATCCATCACAAATTCTTAGACATAAAGATTATTTTCCAATCTGGTGAAGGAGTCTGACAGTTTCCCTGAGATATCTTTGTCATTCCACTTGACAATCTCTGGGGTCAAATCTCTGTTCTTTTATAATCAATGAACACTAAACTTCCTGTAACTTCTACCCATTTTTTCTAATTGTGGCCATTAAAACTACTCAGAACAAGTCTGCTTTTAATCCAATTGACAGCTGTTCAGATGTTTAAGGAAACCTTGCTTCCTCTTACTTTTCTATAGACAAATCCCATATTCTGCAGCTTTTCTGGCTTCTTATCACCTGCCACTTTCCTGAACACTTGGTGACATGTTCATTTTCCTTGTGAATCATGTACCCAGTACTATACACAGTGATAAACACAGATTGAAATGGTACTATTATTGCCACTGATCTGGATCTGTGCCCATGAAAATCTAAAATTGTATTGGCTTTTTAGTAACTAATATGCTACTCTGCTTTATCATAAGCTTGTAGCTATCTTAAATCCTTTATCATTTTCACACAATCATCCAACTCAGTTTTCCCCGTTTTATTACCCCCCCCCCCCATGAAGCTTTTAGTTTTATGATGTTTTTAACTTAGTTAGCATGTAAAGTCATTCTTTTAACTTTTCCAATCATCCCTATTAGTGCTTTCTCCCTTATGCCAGAGCAGTATAACACCCATGCCTTCTTTTTAGACCTTGAAAATGTTGTACACTCCTTTCGTGATCACTTTATAGATTGGATACCAAAACATTTTTAACAAAAAGCAACTTAAGGAATGCATTTGTATCCAGGTGTAAACGTTCAGTAATTTTTAAGTTCTGTTGCTTCAAGTTCACGTTCATCAATGAGCATGGGTGACTAAACTATTAGCCTTGGATTGTTAGGACTCATGGTGGAGGAGAGTGATTACCAGCTTTTCTTTAGCTTTCTCTTGCCACTTTTGACAAAGTTGGTTTCTCCTTTCTTTATCCATGTCTCGTCCACTTTGTATATATCTTAACTGTAGCACTTACCATGTTGCATTAATGTATTGATTTACCTCTCTGAGCATAAGACCTTGGCTTGGGTATCTAGTGTAATGCTGATTTGATATAAATACTTCATAAATGTTTGTTGTAGTAGATCATTTACTTTCAAGTTTGACCTTGCTTTGCTCTTAGATTCTTCTAATTTTATATGTAGACAATTCAAGTTCTTGAAGTTGAGAGGAAGAAGAATGCTTATCATCTCACAGAGAAGGACAAAGAAATAGAGCGGCTCAGAGACCAGCTGAAAGCCAAATATAGTACAACTGCACTGCTTGAGCAGCTAGAAGAGAAAACAAAGGAAGTCGAAAGGAAGGAACAGCTGGTGAAATCCTTGTCTGAAGAGATAGATGTACTGAAAAAACAGTTGTCTATTGCACCCACAGCACTTGCTGAACTTGAAACCAAACCATGTCATGTATCACAGGTATTAATAATTTCTTTAAACAGATTTTCTTTCTAACACAATTGGTAATTCTTATAAAGAATGAGTTCATTAAAACATGATTGTTAAATGATGAAACAGTATAGTACAGGTTACTCTTTTTTTGTAGCCTGGATCCCTCTGGATAAGCAAAAATAGTTGTAGTTTTTTATGGCTTCTTCCATGCCCCACACCGTTGTTTAGCCTAAGGGAATGTTCAGAATACATAATCCACTGTGTAAGACAGTGAAGAAAACTTTATTGAGCTCTTTTTCCTGTAGTATGTATCATCATGATAGGCTTTATTTTTGTTTGTTATTTTTCATATTTGAGATATAAAGTTACAATATCAAGCATGCTTTTCTTAACTATGCTTGCTTTTCCTCCCCTTGTATTGTTTCAGAGTCACTAGTGTAGCAGAAAGAGCAAGGATTGTAAGTAGGCAGATCCAAGTTCATATTTTGGTTCTGCCACTGGCTAGCTATGACTATGAACAAATTCCTCAACCTCTCTAGTCTTAGAGACAATGCTAGAATTCAAACCTCTCCCCAAACTTCAATTTTCACATTAGTAAAATCAGGAAAGAATGCTGGAGACTAGATGTAATAATTATGTTAAGTTGCATAGTGCTTGGCATATAGTAAGTGTTCAAGAAATGGTTTCTTACTGATCAGGGATTTGATTCTTTTGGAAATTTGAACATCTAAATAATACTAATACTCCAGCTATTAATACCACCTATAGAAAAATATCTGTAGCTTTCAGATATAATGTCTCCGTTGTTAAGGTCTTTGCACTTGTCCACCCTTTAGAGTAGAGTGACTGGATCTATTCATTTATGTCTACTCTCAGATGGGCAATTGAGTGTTTCTATAGATGAGTTTGAAGAGGTTAAGTTTTTCTAGAGAATTTCCACAGAACTGGAACTCACGAAGCATTACAGTCAGATCCAAAGTGGGTGATGAAACCTTTTCTTACGGTTAAGAATTACTTTCTCACCCTAGCTGGTTTGATTCAGTGGATAGAGCATCGGCCTGAGGACTGAAGGGTCCTGGGTTCAATTCTGGTCAAGGGCACATGTCTGGGTTACAGGCTCCCTCCCCAGTAGGGGGCATGCAGGAAGTAGCCAATCAGTGATTCTCTCTCATTATTGATGTTTCTATCTCACTCCCCCCTCTCCCTTCCTTTCTGAAATAAAAATATATATTTTTAAAAATAATTAGTTTCTCTACTTTTGAAGGTAGAAATTTAAATTTTGGTAGAAATGATCATTTAAAAAATTTATCCTTATAATTGTGTAGGCTATCCAATATTAATTTCTATATTATTCAGCATGTGTAATTGCTATAACAAACCACCTTCATATTGTAGTCTCCCACAATAAATGTTTCTTTTGACCTCATGTCATAGTCTATTGCAGGTTGGGTAGTAGGAAGTTTTATTCACACAGTCATTCAGAGATCTAGGTTCCTTCTCTTTCCTCACCTTTCCTGTCCCTTATTGTGGAGTCTTCCATCAAATCCCCCTTTTAAAAAGCTACTAGAGGCCCGTGCACAGGTAGGGTCCCTAGGCTGATGGGCAATCAGGGCTAATCTGGGCCTTATGGCTGCCAGCCAGGGCCTTCCTTTGTTCTGTGCTGCCCTCTGGTGGTCAGCATATGTCATAGTGAGCAATCAAACTCTGGTCTCCCCATTGAACTCCTGAGGGGACCCTTTGCAAATTAGCCTTTGATATAAATTATGAACTAGAGAGATTCTGTGAAGAATTGGGAGTGTGTTTGGGGCCATGCATGATATTGGCATATATCACTTCTGTCTACATTCCATTGGACAGATTCAGTCTTGTGGCCTCACTAACCACAGGAAAGGCTGGGAAACTCATCTACCGTGTGCCCAGGGCAGAAAGGAAAGGGATCTGGTGACACATCCCTGTCATAGTTTCCACCTAAAGAACCAAATTGAGAGTGAGAAAGGGCTACATAGTATATTAGGGTGAGTGTCTAGAGCACCTTCGGAGAAAATTTTTCAAGCTTCCTTGCCAGCATTCACACAAGTGAAGACTGGAATACAGCTTTTTATGTTGGCTAGCCTGGGTACCTAACAACCTCTTTCCCCTCTTTTTTTCCTTTATGAGAAAATGAAGGGGAAAAAAAAAAAAGACAAGTTATGTTTTGAGTTCCATATAATGTCTATGAATTAATAATAATTCTGTTTCTAATATAAATACTAGAAATTAACTTTTTATCTTTTGACAATTTACTATTTTCCAGATTTAATTTAAATAGTCCAGTTTTATTTTGTCTCCTTTTGGTGAAAACCACTACGCTACTCATATGCACTCAGGGCTGTTCCGGTGATCCTGGGGCCCAGAGGTCCTCAGACATCAATTAGATATGAAATCTCAAGGTTTCCAATCCACTTAGGATACTGGCAGATCATAAGTACCCTTCCCCTGCATGAGTCTCACTAGCATGTTTAAGATCTGGATTTTGGGATGCCCCTGTGCAGTATAATGAGGAAGCTTCTATTACTATATTTATGATGTTAACTAATGCTGGTTTATTTACAGACTGAAACTAAAATTCACTGCATTACCTCACCAATGAATAATATTCATGAAATGGAATTACAGCTGAAAGATGTAAGTTCCTTTTCCTTTTGTTAAGTTATGGCTAAAAGGGACTAATTCACTTATTCTTAAATTTCATGCAATTTGACAGCACTGATGCCATGAGAAATCTGTTGAGGTGGAGAGCTGAGTGGTTCTCCGTCTCTCTAGGTTACTTACTGCCTTTAAGTCTCTTTCCAGGTATTCAACAGGGCCAGTTCCTCTAATCATGGTCTTGTTAGGCTAGAAAGGCCTAGAAATTACCTATCACTACCAAATACCTCAACAGCAAATACCCGTCCTCTACCTAAATCTAATTTGCCCAGCTATTTTGTTATTATAATGTAATTTAAAGTTTTCTTCTTTTTTTTTTATCCATGCAAGATGTACTCTAGTTTGAAATTTTTCCATTAGAACCAGGATTTGCTTTCATAGTTTGAAAAGGAAAATACATTCTTTGTATACCGTATTTTTGGGCGTATAAGACGACTTTTGAAACGAAAAAAAGTCAACCGAAAATCGGGGGCAAAAGACCAAAATTGCACAAAAATTACCTGCAGTAAGTCTTTTCTTTGAAGGGGGTGGGGGTGGGGGGGCGGAGGTAGTCTTATACGCCGGAAAATACAGTACTCATTACTTCTTTAGATATAAGAAGTTATTGATATTAAGGTTATTTTCAATACTAGGAGCCCAGGGCACGATTCAAAATCGCGTGGTGCTGCCCACCCACGAGTCACTGGTCCGGCCCTGCTGTGGCCTCTGCTGGTCTAGCCCTGCCTCCCTCCCTGGCCCTTGAATTGGACAAGATTGAATCTGTCCAATTAAGCCTTCCCCCAGTGCAGGTGCGAGGAGGCCTCTGCCGCCCCACCCTCAGCGCTGCACAGGTAACCTCCTCCTATCCAGTCAACCCATTATGGCATCCCGGTTAATTTGCATATTTCTCTTTAAAAAAAATATATATATATATATATATATTAAGTCTTATTATTTTAAGCTTGTCTTAAATGGATTGGTAGGTTTCATTGGAAATAAACAAATTGAGGACACAGGACTACTACTATTCACAGTGTATTTTTTTTCCAAGCTTTAAGATTAGATATACAAAGTATGAAATTCTTGATTTAATTATTAGGCCACTAGGTAGACATTTAGATTCTAGAAATATTACTGGTATGTCTACCCTGATATAAGTGTGCTTTTAAGATTCTTGTTTTATTTCACCTAGCAAGTATACCTTGTAGTCTGTTTAATTTTCAAAAGAATTTAAATCTGTTGAGCATCTGTATATTGGGGTACTGTAGTACCCTTATCAAGGTAATTTACATAAAGGTAACTAAAATAAAGAAGAAACATAGTGTTATGCATATATGCAAACAAGTTTATTGGTTGTTCTCTTTCCTCCCGCCCACCTCCCCTGCCAAAGTTATTTTTAGATAATGAGTCTTTTTATGAAATGGACTTTAAAATGTTACATGCTTATATCCAATCTTTTTGTTTTGTTCTGTCTCCCCTGATTATTTAAGGATTACATTTTTCTTCTCTGCTCTGTTTACCTTAGAAAGGCTTTTAGACGAATGGAGTAAAATTTAACCCACCTCACCTTCACATGGTGATCTAGACTGAGCGATGCTTCTCAGACTCCGATGTGCATATGAATCTAGGGACTGTCATGAAATGCAGATTCTCATTATCTTGATCTGGGGTAGAGCCTGAGATTCTGGATTTCCAACTAGCTCCAGTTGTTGCTGCTCCTGCTGGTAGTTTGAGGGCCATCCTTTGAGAACCGTTAATTTACCTGTGATAAGCAGGAGGAGTGTAGCTCTGGTTGTCACTTTGGAATCTGCAGGTCTTACAGAGCAGGAGGAAAACTGTAGTTGGTGGATTTAGGGAGAGGAGCAGGAATAGAGAAATCTCACTCCTCATAGTCAACACACACAGCATTATTCAGCTTGTGAGAGCTTAGCAGTTCTAGTCCTATTCCCCTCCTCAAAGCTCCTGCCAAACGTCTATGGAAGTTTGCCTATCTACTTTAAGATCAGTGTTTGTTATGCTAAAACAAGCCCTAAAAAACTGTTTACCTTTTGTAAGGTCTAGCTGTATGAATCCTCAGCTACCACGTAAGTCTAGCCAACATTTTGAAATAATTCCATGAAGTTCATGATGTGAACACTGTCTGATGATGTCAGCAACTTTCACACTAAATCAAACTAAAGAGCTAAGAGGCAGTTTCCACAGAGATTTCTTGCTCTCCATTTTTAAAAAATCTCATTTTAAAATATAGACTTTAGAGAAATAATTATTTTTAAATCTTTTATTGGAAAAAATTCAAATTCACAGCAAAGTGACAAGAATGAAAATGGTACATAAAACACCCATTAATCCTTTACCGAATTCTATCATTGTTAATATCTTATCCCATTTTGCACTCTCTTTCAGTCCCCCCAATACATATATAGAGACCTTTTGGGACATGCAGCTCAACTGCCTGTATTTTTAAAGAATTGAAATTCTTACCTGAAAGAAGATGCCCTGATACATAATCAGAAACATCCAGTGTGTTTCTCAGGACTTAACCCATCTCACCCCTCTAGTGTGAGATGCCAGCTTATGGAGGAAGGGAGCCCCTCCTTTTACAGTTCACCTGTGACAAATGTAGGGTAACTAAAAGATCTGAAAAATTTGGAAAATATATTCTAGTGTGTTATACCATGTGACTTTTTTTTATTTTTTTTTATTTTATTGATTTTTTACAGAGAGGAAGGTAGAGAGATAGAGAGTTAGAAACATCAATGAGAGAGAGTCATCGACCAGCTGCCTCTTGCACATCCCCTACTGGGGATATGCCCGCGACCAAGGTACATGTCCTTGACCGGAATCGAACCCGGATCCCTTCAGTCCCCAAGCTGACGCTCTATCCATTGAGCCAAACCGGCCATGCGACTTTTTTAAAAGAACTTTGTGCCATCTCCTCTGGCAGCCCTGAAGGATAGGAAGTTATTCATCCTGGCTGCTACTTCAACCACTGATAACAGCAATTTACAACAGGCCTGGGGGAAATTGTGACACAAGGGGCACAAATTAAGAACTTGTAAGATTATAGAAATAGTTTTGACAGCTTTATTACAAAGGGTTTGTAGATATAAGAAACATCCAAACTTGTAGAGAATTTTTGTATGAATTTATTTGAGCCAAACTATCATGCCAGGAAGCCAGATCTCAAATCTTCGGTTGGCCAGTGACAGTTTTGCAGTTATTTTTATACATTTGGAACTAAGCAGGGAATTACTCTGTGAGTCATAAGAATCTTTATGTGCTGGAAAAGACTACATCACTTGGGTTTCCTTCCCATTCTAAGATTTTGGGTTTTTTTATTTTTATTTTATTATGTTTATTACTGATTTTTGTATCTTTCACATTGAGGCTCTAGAGAAAAACCAGCAATGGCTTGTGTACGATCAGCAGCGAGAGGTCTACGTAAAAGGACTTTTAGCAAAGATCTATGAGTTGGAACAGAAATTGGAAACAGCTGCTCATTCACTCCCACAGCCTTCAAAAAAGACTGAATCAGAAGGTATTGGTATAACATGTTCTTTTGGAATAGGCCTACCCGGCATTTTCCCAGAGGAGAGATTCCTCAAATTTAGAACTTTATAGATACGTGTTAGAAAGTAAAATAAGAGCAAGTCTTATTAAAATGGTGTTCTGAAGAAATACCATTTTGGCCATTCTGTCTTATTTTCCATTGTTTTCTGATGAAAGAGGGCATAAGACACAGGGCCCAGGGGAAATCGGGCAGTTCCGAGGCACACTGTATTTTCCCCTCTGTGCATGTCCTCCTCTCCTTCCAAGCCCTTCTCCAACTATTCCTCAGAGGGGCCTTGTCACCAATTCCCATATCAATCCCAGGAGAAAGAATGCATTTTGCAGGTGATACTACAGTCATGTGAATCTCACCATAGCTCTCAGTTGAGTTTCACAAGAATCCTAAGAGGAGGGGCAGAAAGGTCATTAGTCATTTTACAGGTGACAAGCTAGGGACAGAAGAGAAACTCCATGCTAAGCACTCATTAGATGACTTGAGAGGCCTAACAGAACAGAAGCCTTGAATTATACAGAGAGAACGGCAGACAAGGCTCATTATCTCGGAGCTCCATATTTGAAAATTTTTAAAATGAAGCTAATGCTATAAAGAGAATATAAAAAGGAATGTCTCTGGAGATAATTCAAAGCTATTAAGCTATTTATCCCTAAGGAGACAAGGTTACTACACATGAAAGTAGGATTTTAGTTATTGGCTAAGTCTAATTTTTTTCTTTAGTAATACCTATAGGTGTGTGTGTGTGTATGTGTGTGTGTGTGAGTGTGTGTGTGTTCAAAGTAATAATGGTTTGCTAAAATAATTCAATAATACGGGAGGGTCCTGCTCCACCTTTCCCATCTCATCCTGTCTCTGTTTCCTCCTATCGGGGCAGCTACTGTTAACTTTGTTTTTTAATTTGGGTGATTATCTCACCTATAATTAGCTTATATCCCTATTTGTTGATTTATCTTCTTTAGACATTAGTGACTTTTCCTCTCCATAGAATAGTTATATTGCTATTTTTTAGTTCTAGTTTTTAGTGTTGTCATTTCAAATAACATACCTGAACTTCTATTTTTTTCCTATCAAATATCAGCCCTATCTCTTAATTCTTCATCTTGTAAGATGAGGAAATAATGTGATCTGTTTATAGAAACGAGTTTACCTTTATCATTTCAGAAATATTACATATTTTATAAAGTGAGTTATGCCCTGCTGTGTTTGTCATAGGTCATCTTCAAGAAGAAAAGCAAAAACACGAGTACCTTCTCTTGGCAAAAGCAAAAAAAGATCTTGAGGCTGAACGACAAACCATAACTCAGTTGAATTTAGAACTCCATGAGTTTCAAAGAAAATATGAAGAAACCCAAAAAGAAGTCCATGATCTAAATAAACTGTTGTGTTCACAAAGAAAGGCGGATGCACAACATCTGGAAGACGATAGGCATAAAACAGAAAAAATACAAAGGCTCGAGGAAGAGAATGCCATTGCGAGGAGAAAAATTGAAGAAGAGAGGAAGAGATCTGAAGAGCTCTTATCTCAGGTGAGCCTAACCATGAGGTTGTCCATGATTTACAATTCACATTTCTCAGACTAAGCGCAGGGACTATTTTAGCCATTAGGGTACCAGGAAGGAACAAAAGTTCCTGTTCCTTTTGTGGCTATTATTCATATTTAGAATTGAAATAGACTATAAACAAATTAAAGAAAACAGGGGAATATGCCAAAGAGAAATTGGGGACCAGTGGAGGCCTCACAAAGGAGATACCGTAATATTTGGACAAAGATCTGATGTCAAGAAGGAACCAGCGTGGTGAGTGACGATGGGAATTCTCTACCCAGAGGAACTCACAGACACTTAAAAGGCTCTGAGAAGGAAGGAACAAGTATGGTGAGAAGCCAAAAGATGTCAAGGAGAGAATCGGGATGATCCCTAGGCCTTGACTGATACCATGCTCGTTAATTCACGTGCCATGTTCCATGCTCTCATCCTCTAGCTTTATGCCAGGGTGCTGACTGTACTGAGTTTGGATTACTGAAATTAAATGCTTCTTTGACAGAAACTCATTAAGCTAATTTTTAGCGAAGCATGGGATAATGTAAAGAACGGTATTTGGAGTTTATATCTGGTCTCTAATCTAGGATGTGTGTGGCCTTAGGCAAATCGTCTAGCATCTCTGACTTGCAGGTTAACCACGTCAAATTAATACTTCTTCTATCAAAGGGCTTTTGTGGGGTCAACTGAGAGAATGTAAAAGAGTTTTGCTAGTGATTTCTACTATTGGAATAGTAACTTTAAAAATCCTCCAAAAGCCAGGGGGGAGGTGATCGGAGTTCTGTGCTGGTTATCAGCTTCCAGCCTGTGCCTCAGGGAGCTGTTAGCCTGGGTCGCACTGCTCAGCTGCTGGCATGAATAGCCATCAGCCAGCCAGCTGGAGTGACTCACTCAGCTGAGCAGGTGGTGTTCTGGTTAGAGCAGTGAGGCTACTGAGCTGCTCATGCATCCAGGTCAAGCGACAAAAAAGTTGGATGTGGCAACACTGCCTGTCTTTACACCCTACAGATCCAGTTTCTTTACACGTCTCTGCTAAAGCACCAAGAGGAACAAACGAGGGTAGCTCTGTTGGAACAACAGGTACTCACTGCGGTTGTTTCTAAATTCATTGTAACCCATTAGAAAATGAAAGGTTTCTCATCTTTACACTATTTTGTGAAGGACCATTTGAAAGTCTGTTGTCAGGCTAAAGTAGATCCTCTGAAGTGAAGCTGGCAATTTTCTTGACAGGTAGATGTTCACCTTGGCTAATTTTATTCTTCCCCAAATGGCTCTGTAGTTCCTACTGTAGCCTAATGGCATCTCCCTAATAGGGCTACCTTATAACTTCAAGCAGAACTCAAAGACACCATTTATTCTCAGAATGTGGACCAGAGATTTTATTTAGTACATTCCAAACCAGGAGCAGCCATCTCTTTCCCTCCTCCCCCTTCCACATAAAAAAGTGGTAGGGAGATCCCTATGCGTCAGGCATTGGCTTTGCTCCTTAAATCAACCAAGTCCTCAACCATAAACGTCTCTTTTTAAAAAAAAATTAATTTTGTTTTATTATTGAATTTATTGGAGTGACATCAGTTAATCATACCATACAGATTTTCAACTCAGTGAAACATCATTTGCACACTGCATCATGTGCTCCCCATCCAAAGTCAGGTCTCTTCCCATCTCCATTTATCTCCCCCTTTACCCTCCTCCATCTCCTCCCAACTCTGTTTCCTTCTGGCTATCACCATATGCAAGTTCCCAGTCAAGAACTAGACAGTTTATACAGCTGTAACTATCTTATTTTGTGCATTTCTCCAGATTCAGGCATGTACTTTAGACTTTGAAAATGAAAAACTTGACCGTCAAAATGTGCAGCATCAATTGCATGTAATTCTTAAAGAGCTTCGAAAAGCAAGAAGTCAAATAATACAACTGGAATCCTTGGTGAGTCTGGAATGGTTCAACTTAAAAATTATTTTCGTCTTTTTTCTTTCTGCCCTCTTCCCATTTACTAATATATATCAGCCAGTTCCCAAACTAGGAGGATACTGCTGAAAGAACAGCTGTTTCTCCAATCAATAGGCAGAGGCCCTGCCTCATTTAAAGCAAGTGACCTTTGAGCATCAGTTCAGATCACTAGAAAGAGGGACCCTATATGCCTCTGGGTAATTATTACATTACTGGTGCCTAGGACCATCTGCTACTCACCCTGGGCTGTCAAAAAAGTACCCAGCTTGGGAGAAGGAAAAGAGCAAAGGAGGGGATTTTGTTTTTCTATCTATAAAGAAAGAAAGAAATGCTGATTCCAGGGATAAGGGACTATTACTGTTAAAATACTGTTTTAAGCATATTGAATTATGCACATTTTGTGGGTTGCCCTGAACATCTAATCTACTTTTATGTTTTTTTTAGTGACTTTATTAGGTACATTGCTTAATAAAATATATAGGTTTCAGGTGTACAGTTCTGTATTGCATCCTGTGTATATTGTATTGTGTGTTCACCACCCCAAGTAAGTCTCCTTCCATCACTATTTATCCCCCCTTTTCCCTCTTCTATCTCCCTCTGCCCCTTTTTCCCTCTGGTAATCACTGTTTGGGAAACACACAATCTTTTAAAAGAAAAAACTTTTAAATAACATTGGTTCTATGAGGAAATGGTTTTTTACTTATCTATTTTCAAGTTACTAATAGGCTTTTAGACCAACCTGCTGGTGTCTGTGTTTGTGTGTATGTCCCACAGCACATGTGTTACATACCATCCTAGTACTGCTGAGTACTTCAGATGGAAAAAATGTAACAAATAGAATTCCTCAGTTTTCAAGAGAGAAAAAAGCAAATTTTTTTTTTTAAAAAAATCATTTGTAACTTCTTTACGAATAAAAGAAAAAAATGTTTGGCTCTATCCTTTAATATGTTACTGATTCTGACCACTAATAATATTGGAAATTTATCCATTTCTGTTAATGACTATTTCTCAAAATATAGGAAACCAGAGGGTATACAAAAGAATCCATTATTTTCCTATACTTCCTTTGTATTCCTATTGTCTGTCATGAGAAACTACTGTGAAATTCTCATTTTTAAGCTTTATTGACTATCCTAAGTTCCTCAGAAAACATGGAAAAGGAAAGTCTCAAAGGTGTTATACAATTAGTCATTTCTGTGTATAACTTGTTTGATCTGCTAAAATCCTTTCTGTGCTGCTCCTAATTCCATGCACTTCTTTATTGCTGAAGTGCTCCTCTTATATAAGACTAGCAAATTTTGTCAGCCTTACACACAGGCCTACCTTTACATTCGGCTCTAAGCATTTTTAAAAAACCTGTCCATATAAACACCTCACCCCAGTACTTCCTATGTAATCTGGGTAATTTACAGCCATCTGTAATTTGGGTAATTTATATGTTAGCATTGCAATACTGATGAGCAGAGATTAAAAAAAAAAATCTGTCTGCAGGGCTGAAGCAGTTGGATCTGTGGAGCGGTTACAACTTATGTATAAATGGTGTTCACTTGACGTTTATTTTTCAGAGGCAGCTTCCTGAATTTGCCTTCACGGAGCCATTAGTCACTTTCCAAGGAGAGACCGAAAACAGAGTAAAAGTTGCCTCACCAAAAAGTCCCCCTGCTGCACTGAACGAGAGCCTGGTGGAATGTCCCAAGTGCAATATCCAGTATCCAGTCACCGAACATCGAGATCTACTCGTCCACGTTGAATACTGTTCACAGTAGCAATAGTTCTTTATTTCTTATCAAGAGATTCAATACTGTATCTTATGTTAGTGAAGGAACATTTTGAATTCTTTATTTCATCTCCTCTATAAGAAACTGCCTATCTTCCCTTGAGACTCTGGCATACAGTGATTTACTGTATTTGGGGGCTGCTTTGTGTTTTCTTTGGCACTGAGACCTACCTGAGATGGTTCATATTAGGCTTTAGTGTATGCCGAGATGGCTAACATTTTGCACTGTTAAAATACTTGATGAAGAAAAGATAGTTCAGGTAATTATTTGTGAATTAAATCTATACACAGGCAAGCAAATATTTTGTGTTTGTGGGTTTTTAAAAATTGAAGGTAATTAACCAAGTATCTTACTGTCTTATTTAGCACTTTTTATCTAAGCACTTGATATACCTACAATTGAGTCCATTGTTAAAAGATGGTGATACTTTCTCTTTTTCCCCTTGCTATTATTGAGCGGTTATTAGACACGTTGGGAATGTTCTTAGTCTGTATTGCTGTTTACTGTTGAAACATAGGTAAAACCTATGTTTCAAAACCTACCTATGTTTTAAGCACAAAGCAGATTCTGCTTAAGGAATATTTCTAAGTAGCCACACACACAATATTTTCTGTCATATTTACTGGCTCTAACTTTATGGGTATTTTTGTTTGTTTTTTTAATTATGTTTTCTTGATTTTTAGAGAGAGAGGAGAAGGGAGAGAGAGAAAAATTGATGGGAGAGGAACATCAACTAGCTGCCTCCTGCATGGCCCCCACCAGAGATCGAGCCTGAAACCTGGGCATGTGCCCTGATTGGGAATGAACGCGTGACCCTTTGGTGCATGGGTCAGCGCTCAACCGCTGAGCCCCAGTGGCAGGGCAGTGATAACTAAGGTGAATTTTATTAGCACATGTTGGTCAGCTAAAATTGTTAAAACAAATTTTAACAAAACCATCTAGCCCTCGCATTTTCATTTGCAGGTATTTTATTTACTTATTTTTGGCAATCTTAAAGCTGGCAATGTAATGAGCAGATAATATATTTTTATACTTGTTTGTGTAAACCAAAAATTTTTTTATTTGGGTTTTTCAAATGTTTAACACTGGGCCATTGTTAGTAATATAAAGGAGAAAAAAAAATAAAATTATTTAATAAGTTTTTATATGTCTAGCATGTATGTATATAAATATTCTAAGATTTTTACCTTGAGAGGAGTACCAGGGAGATTACAGATTAACACACAGTGTAAAGTAAGGTGAGGGTACAATGGAACCAAAACCTATATTAAGCTCAGAAAAGTTAAACAAAATCTCCACAGTCATTAAAAAAAAAAAAAAAAAAAAAGCCATTCTTGGGTCTCAAACTCCAAGTCAACTTCAATACCCGTCTTCTTTCCACCATGCCAGAAGCCTTTATGAATTCTCCAAACGCAGTGTATACTTAAGTGATGCCGTAACTGAAGTCTGAGTTAGAAAAATGACAACACACTATCTGGTCTCCTCCATCCCTCTTATGTGAACAGTTCTGCCTTTTCAAATCTCTCCACCTGGTTCCACGAACCCCTGCTATGGGAGTCCTCTGACATCTTTAATTTCAACTCCAAACATTTATTAAATGCCCATTATGTATAGAAGGCTCTGGGCTAGGTATTAGTGGCACAGTGATAATAAAATACAATCTAGTAGAAGAGACTAAAATCTAAAGAGGTAGTATAATACACTATATAGGAAGTGCTATAATGAATTTATATGTAGGATAGAGCCGTTTATTTATTTAAACCTTGCCTCATTCTAATGTTGATTGAAAGTCTGACTTTTAAAGATACAATTCTTATCTATCTCTATATATAAAAGCCTAAGTGACTATTGCGACTGGACAACCCGATGACTGGGCGACTGGCTGGTAGCTGTAACATACACTGACCACCAGGGGTCCAGGCGCTCAATGCACAAGCTGTCCCCTGGTGGTTGGTGCACTCCCACAGCCAACCTCCCTTGGTCCCTCCCCCTGGCCAGCCAACTTCCATGGTCCCTCCCCCTGGGCAGCTGGCCCCAATCAGCCCCAGTTGGGACTGGGTGAGATAGCTCTGATCAGCCCCGATTACTGGCCAGGCCAACGAACCCCAGCAGTGCACAAATTCGTGCACTGGGCCACTCTTAATAAGATAGAATTTAAAAAGTATGAAAAAGCAAGAGGAAAACAAGACAAGTAAAAGGAGCCACTCACAAAAATAACCCCAAGGCAGGCCATGGGGTGCCTCTGACAGGTGAGCTCTGACCTTGGTGCTGAGCTTTGTAGCTATTAGCACAGAGAAACTCCTGTACACCATACACAAGACTTAAAAATTCAGCTGATCTTCAAGAGGAATGCCCCTACTATGATCCTGAGACTATAAAGAGATTCCTCTAGTGTGCCTTCATAAAGAAATTATGTAATGTAAAGGTCCATAGCCTCAACAAGTCTGATAAATAGCCTCAACAAGTTCCACTCTGGTTTCTTAATGTTCTTACACATAGGTGAAAACGTTGTGTACAGAATTATGTCCATAATCCTCAAGTGCAGGTAACTCCATACTCTCCCAATGGGAAGCTCTCTGCTGCTGCCCCAGGGCAACTTTCAGGGATGGGAGTCAACTCAAAAGCCTCTGACAGCCAGCCAGCCAGCCAGCTGGACTGTGGAGACTGGAAAATGCACGCCTTCACCCAAAGGGGGCACAGCTGCTCAGCTCCAGCTCATGTTCCATGCAGATGAGTCCAATGTGACTAATCTTTCAGATTTTCCAAGAGAAATCTAGAAGTTTTAAATGTGAAATCTCCAAACTTCTCAGCTCCATGATAGCCCATCAGCAAGGTTAACATAAGACTAAAATGTGGAAGTTGCTTCAGCTCCCTTTGTCTCAACTGAACAGTGGGTGCATAATTCTGATCTTTCAGAGCCCAAGGTTAACCAGCTTTCCGGTTCCTTGTCCACACTTTTCTGCTAAAAGTGAAGACAATGGGTGGCTTCCAACAGTGCCGAGTTGGATTGGAACTGGGAGGTCATCAACTCTAGCATTTTTAAAAATATATATTTTATTGATTTTATACAACCAAGGGTATGTACCTTGGTTGCGGGCACATCCCCAGTGGGGGGTGCACAAGAGGCAGCTGATCGATGATTCTCTCTCATCAATGTTTCTAACTCTTTATCCCTCTCTCTTCCTCTCTGTAAAAAAAAAAATAAAAAAAATCAATAAAACATATTTTAAAAGAAAAGAAAATATATGGGAAAGCACATTGCTGATGGGAAATACTGTTCAATTCCACACACACACACACACACACACACACACACACACACTGATTATAGTGTGGATAGGAATGAAGATAAGACAGTGACATGACCTGTTTCCAAGAACCTCCATTCACTTTCCTCATCCATACAGGGATGGGGAACATCTGGGCCTTGGGCTGTTTAAGGCCCAAGAAATCATCTGGTCTGGCCCTGCCAAGGCAATAGGGGAGAGTTAATTAAATATCTGACCAAATATAGCAGGCTAATTTTAAGTTGGTAATTCTGCATGGCCCATGAATGATGTTATAAATATCAAAATGGCCTTTGGCAGAAAAAAGGTTCCCCATCCTTGCTAGAACCATAGTCCTCATTCATCCTCATTGGCAACTAGTGATAAATGCATTCAGATGCAAACAACAGAAAAGACTGACACCATCAGGTCATCAGTTGTTTGTTTTAAAAGTCAGGATTCAGATCTTCCCAGTGTAGAGGGACAGTTTCACAACCTTTAGGCTCTGGGCCGTCCCCTCTAGAATTCTCTTGGTCCTCTCCTCATGCTCCCATAAAGGCTGCCTGCCTCGAGTATCAAACATCTCAAGCTAACGAGACTTTTTTTCAAAACCAAGAAGCAGACAGCGAGCCAGGATAGTGACTGAGCACTCATTAACGCCTTTCTCCTATCCAATAAAAGGAAGTTTTACTACAAATGGAAATATCCACCGGGAAACTCCTCAGTCCACTCCCCTTAACCTCTCATTGGCAACAACTGATTACACAGTGCATTCAGGCGAGCGGAGCAAGTGAAATCTCACTGAAATCTGCACGGCTTCGCACGGTGTGGGTTCACATCTCGCTCACCTCCTCCATCCTGGAACCGCACCACCTGGAACGTGAGGCCTCCGCGGTCTCCGGGGCGGAAAAAGAGAAGTGAAGACTCCGCAGGAGCCCCTACCAGCAGCAGGCCGCAGACCGGAAGTGACGCACTTCTCCTCCATTCCTATTGGTCAGAACCTGGTCTCAGGGCCTCACTTCCTGCAAAAGGGGGCTGGCCCAGCCTAGGAAGCAGCGTGTGGTTACTCACCTACAACCGCGTGCTGCCCAGGGCTGTCCCGGATGTCAGGGAAGGGAATTGGGGAAGTGTGATGGGTGAGAGCCTGCCATTCACTTCATCCCCACCGGCTCTCTCAGCAGGCCAGGAAGCCTGTGTAAAGGAATCCTTGGGCCCTGGCCCTGGCCGGTTTGGCTCAGTGGATAGAGCGTCGGGCTGCGGACTGAAGGGTCTCAGGTTGGATTCAGGTCAAGGGCATGTACCTTGGTTGCGGGCACATCCAAGGTAGAGGGTGTACAGGAGGCAGGCGATTGATGTTTCTCATCGATGTTTCTAACGCTCTATCCTCCCTTCCTCTCTGTAAAAAAATCAATAAAATATATATATATATATATATATATATATTTTAAAAGAAAGTAAAAGAAATCCTCGGGCTTCCAAGATTCAGATGCAGATTTTTTTCTCTCCACTTTATAATAATCTTGCACTTCCCTGTCACTCTCTCCTGGCATCCACCCCATCCGCAACAGACTAAGTTTCTTAAGGTCAGAGATTGTCTCCCCTTCTCACCTCTCATGCTTACCCGGGCCAGGTTTGTAGGATTTGCTCAATACGTGTTTTTAGAGCAAGTAAATAAGGGCCTTTTAAAAACAATGATTTCAATCCATTTGACAGTCTTAAAAAACAAACAAACCTGGCTCTTGCCCTGGGTGACTCAGTTGGTTGGAGCGTCATCCTGCACTCCAAAGGTTGTCTTTCTCCGTCCCCACTTCCTTGGTCTCTAAAATTTAATGGAAACATAAGCTCAGATGAGGATCTAAAACAACAACAACAAAACACACCTGGTTCTTATCTTCAGAATTTCCAGTAAAATCATTGAGGAACGAGAAGTATGATTCAACCTTTAAGCAAACATGGGTGCAAAAGAAATTACACAGAAGACTTCAAGAATGCGGCCATAAATCAAGTAAATATTTGATCAGTGACATCAACATATGTAGAGAGTTCATTCAGGAAACTGACTTCTGGAAACTCACCTAGAATACCTTCAGTCTGGCGTTAGGGCTTTAACCAAAACGACATCTTCAAGACTAGAAGCATTGAGAGTCCCTTGCATGCCCAGAGCAGGTGTCACAGTGATGGTGGCTGAGGCACGGGCTCAAAAAATATAGGGTAGTTTGATATATACTCTTTAAGAAATTTAATGAAGGAAGCCAAAATTGTGAGGCACTTTATCGGCAGGGATTATCACCATTATACAGTAGTTGAAATGTATTGAGGATCATATTACAAATATTATGCTAAGGACTTTATGTGCATTATTTAAATTTGATCCTCTCAACAGTGTCCTGAGGTAGGTACTACTATGCCCATTTTACTCATTGGCGTGTGTTCATGCACACAGAAAAAAAGACAAGAAATAAATTATATTAAAATGTT